GTCCCCCCAGTTCCCCAGGGCTCTCTGCACCATGGGGGTACCCGAATCTCTTGGGGTCCCCATCACCGTGGGGGTACCCAGATCCTCAGGGCTCCCCGGCACCATGGGGATACCCAGATCTCTTGGTGTCCCCAGCACCATGGGAATACCCAAATCTCTTGGGGTCCCCATCACCGTGAGGGTACCCAAATCCTCAGGGCTCCCTGGCACCACAGCGGTACCCATATCTCTTGGGGTCCCCATCACCATGGGGTTACCTGAATCTTCAGGGCTCCCCTGCACCATGGGGGTACCCAGATCCTCTGGGCTCCCCAACACCGTGGGGGTACCCAGATCCTCTGGGCTCCCCGGCTCCACAGGGTCCCCAGTTCCCCAGGTGCCCTGGCACCATGGGGGTACCCAAGTCCTCAGGGCTTCCCAGCACCACGGGGGTACCCAAATCTCTTGGGGTCCCCAGCACAGTGGGGGTACCCAGATCCTCGGGGCTCCCCGGCACTGTGGGGGCACCCAAATCCTCTGGGGTCCCCGGCTCCACAGGGTCCTCAGTTCCCCAGGTGCCCTGGCATCATGGGGTACCCAAATCCTCAGGGCTCCCTGGCACCATGGGGGTACCCAAATCTCTTGGGCTCCCTGGCACCGTGGGGGTACCCAGATCCTTGGGGCTCCCCAGCACCATGGGGGTACCCAAATCTCTTGGGGTCCCCAGCATCATGGGGATACCCAGATCCTTGGGGCTCCCCGGCACTGTGGGGGTACCCAGATCCTTGGGGCTCCCCAGCACCATGGTGGTCCCCAAATCTCTTGGGGTCCCCATCACCATGGGGGTACCCAGAGCCTCAGGGCTCCTTCGGGCTCCCCGGCATCGTGGGGTACTCAAACCTTTCAGGCTCCCCTTCGCCACAGGGTACCCAAATTTCGGGGGCTCCTTACACCATGGGGCGCCTGGTTCCGCGGGGGCTCCCTGTTGGTACCCAGAGCTCGGACGGGGCTGGCAGCCGGGGGGTCTCGGGGGGCTGATCCCCTGGCCCCGGTGACCTGACGGCGCTCACCCTGCTTCCAGGTGAAGGAGG